ACTGCGGGGAACTCTGCAAAAAACGCATCTTCGCACGGGCAACCCGTGCGTTGGCCAATTTTTTTATTCGGTGATGGTTTTACAGTGTAAAGCAAAAATAAAAGACCCATCAAATAATACCATGGAGAAAAACATAGGTGAAATTTGTCAAGTTTGCTAAGTAACAAATGTTCAAAACTCAAAAACCTGAAATTCCTTGGTTCTAGAGCCAAATTGTCAAATTAGCCTCGGCATTATCTAAAACAAATTCCTTAGTTCTGGAGGTGTATTATTGTGAATACAAAATATCTCTATGATCTTGCATCACATCTTTTCACTACCATAAATGGAAAAACGCAAATAAAACAGTCCGAAACGAATTAACGAAAAGATCTAGGATTATCTCAGATAATCTCATAAGTGGAAGTTAAAAACTTAAACTGTTTAAGGAAAATCAGTCTAATCTTTGATCAGAGCGATGCTTAAATCGCTCAAAGAAGAGGCCGCATACTGGCATTTAAAACACTTCAAATTTCAGTCAGCAGCAGATTTACGCGATTCTACTGCGCTTTCGTCTGAGGAATCACCATCGGTAAATAACAATGGCATGCCAAATGGCACTCGAGCTTCTGCCTTACAAGGGGTAAGCCGGTTGCATCTCTCTCACTTTTGCCCTTGTCTTTTCCTTCCTTTTCGCCATCCAACTTCACTTCAGCCGCACTCTTCAAATCCCGAGTTAACAAGGCTTTCAAATAATTAGTACAATATCCAGACTAACCGATGACAGCGCGTGTCAGATCTAAGCATAGAGCAGGAGAGTCGCATGTCGGATGAGGGCACATGCTCCAGAAGTTTCAGTTTCCTTCATTGCTGAGTTGGAAGTGGGTGTGGAAATATGATCATCAACGGTGTCGGCATTTTTGCACAACTAGATTCCTAAAAGCGACAAATAAATGTGCATAAGCAGACTTGTTGCGTGCTTTCCTGGGCTTATTTTCGGCCACTGGAATCAATAGATTCTCTTAACCCTCACAGGTACATTCAACTACTTCTAACCTATCGCGAAGAATTTTGGTTTGCAAACAGTTTTGGTCTTCTAACCTTTTCCATTGTATAATTAGTGTCATGTCCCTACATCCCATACATTTTTTCAGTTCGACGAACTACCCGATCTAAGTCAACTGCGATTGGAAGATAAAAGCGAAGAGTCGGATGTGGAAACAGCACCTGTGAGAGTTCCGGTGATAATGTTTGCTAAAAACGGACGCCAGGTATTGCGACAATCCCTTTTACAATTTTTATACGTTTTTGCATAAATACAAACAAAACACACTGCGGCGGGGAGAATCTCTGTCGGCTCCTTTTATACTTCTGGGCAAGGCCATTTCGAAAATCGACAAACTAAAAATTTTAAACTCAGCTCTCTGGCTCCCCAACCACAGCCTCAAGCAGTTCCTCAACCCAAAAATCGTTAAAAGCTCGGATATTCAAATGAACATAGATGGATTTTTTGAAAAACGACCGTTCGAGCAATTCTTTCAATTTTTAGTGAACTGGAAATTTGCATTTTTTCAAGAAATTTGCGTTTGTCATTTTTTCACAAAGCGTGCATTTACCGAAAAAATCCGGACTTCATGCAAAAAACCGGCAATCATGTGCCTGAATGTCCGTGCGGCTCTATAATGCACCACCTTCATCCCAGCTGACACCCTTCCTCCTGCATGCCGGAAGGGGCCAAAGCACGGTCCAGTATGAGCCCAAGTGTTAGGCTACAGCGTAGGGATCATTCTTGCTAATAGCATTCTGCGAGTTTAGTGCAAAAACGCATGATCACACCAGAGAGCCTGCTGCGTTCCAGCCTGGGTTTAACTCCGCATCTGGCGCAATTTCTACTTATGCGTTTTTTGCAGCAGTGCAATGCGAAAAACGCATATTGACGAGAGGTTGTCTGTGTGTTTGTGTCTGTGTGTCTGTGTGTCCGTATGTGCGTCTGTCACGGTTTTTCATCACAAGACCTACAAAAGCTACGGGGCTGAAACTTTGGAAACTAAATCCACATGCAGGTACGGGCCCCAATCCCCAAAATTGGCGCCGTACCTCGCGTGGTACCCGCGTACGGGCCCGCCGAAATTTTTCCCGCGTAAATTCATAACTCGGGATTCTGAAACGCTAGAAAGCTGAAATTTTAAGGGAATGTTCCCCGTCCAAGTGGGTACTAGTGGGCTCAAACCCAGCCCCCAAAAATTGATAACTCAAGTACCTGAGAAGCTAAGAGAATGTAATTTTAAGAGGATATACCACGTCCATCTAAGTTTCATTCAGCTCGAACCCAGCTATCAGGTATGCCTGGTAAGCATGCACGGGCCCGTGAAAATTTTGTTCCAGTAAGTTGCTAACTCAGATGTCAGGGAAGTAGAAAAGCGATGTTTTCTGACAGTTCTGGCGGCCAGTCTTAATTTGTTTAGCTAGAAGCATTTGCCGAAAAAACTGGTGCCGGTAACAACAAAAACTTCGGAGAACCATGCAAAAAACGCATCTTCGCACGGGCAGCCCGTGCGTTTTGATTAATGCTATGTAGCACGATAGATAGCCAGTTGCTGGAGATCCTGTCGTTATGCACGATTAGCAGAGATATTTCAGACAAATGAAGGCCAAACACCAACCATTCAGTTGGAAGCTGATTTTTCGGAAGTAACTAGTTTTGCAAAAG